GGGGGGGGTCTCAGATGCCCCCGGGCTTTTCCCGAGCCCGGATGGCAGGCAAGCAGACTCGACGCGGCAGTGCCCCCATCGAGCAGGGAGAGTGTCGCAGATGGGTATTGATGCAAAAGCCAAACCCTCGGCAGCCGCTGGGCGGCGCGCGGGCTGCGACTGGCAGCGGCCGTGCGATGGTGGCGCGCCGGCAAGGAATGGAGACTCGTTAGGTTAGTCTGTCTGATCCTGCTGACTGGCCACGGTGGGGGCCGTGACTCATGCACCATGACAGGCCGCCGCGGATGGGCTGCCCCGGTCAAAATCACTTGCCTCGACATGATGGCTATCGCGATTGTGGAAAGGGACGTACCCAACACGGTTAGCACTGCGATGCCCGCACAATACACCCCCCCAGCTGCACGGCTGGGATCAGACCTGCAACAGCGAACATGCGTCAGACGGCGCAATCGATCTCCCCAGAAGACTGACACAATAAGTGAGAGCCTGAGGGCGACTGAGAGACATGTGGACTTGCCGTTCACACCACCCGCGATGATATTACGCCGATCTTGGAATGCGAAGCACACGGGGCACAGGCATTGCGCCCGTCGGGCCAATCATGGCGGAGGAAAATGCCGCATGATACGCTCGTCTGTCGTGCATTTGGGGGGCTTCTGCATAGTCTCGCACTCACGACGCTCTCCCGCTGAACCTTCGCTACCCAATGAGCGCAGGCAAACCTTGATTGCGCAGGCAGGTGACGAGCCGCTGTGCCGTGGGATACACTCGGTACATACTGGTCGTCGCTATCGCTCTTCAGGACGCTGTCTAGATACCGCACCTCAGAGTGTATGCCATGTCGTCCGTCGAGCTTGTGTTTCTTGTCAGTATAGTAGCTTCAACGCTTGTGGCGTTCTACTTCAACCACGTCCGTCCAAGGGGCAGCCTGCCGCCGGGCCCTGTGGGCATCCCTCTCCTTGGGAACCTCCTGCAGGTCAACGCGCTGCGTCCGCATCCGCAGGTAAGGACAGCGGCCCCGCAGATTGCTCTCTCCCGGTACTGATGAGATCACCCATACGCACACCACCAGTTTCGCGAATGGGCAGCGCGGTACGGGCCGATTTTCTCCCTGCGCATGGGTCCACAGCAGATGATCGTGCTCAACACGGCGGAGGCAGCTGATGAATTGCTCGTCAACCGAAGCAAGGTCTATTCGAGTCGATCGCCTCCGCACGTGGCACAAGATATCGTCAGCGATGGGCAACGCATGGTGCTGCTGCCTTACGATAGGGAATGGAAGGTACGTGCTCCCGCTCTGCGAAATCCCCCCTCTAACCCATCTAAACATATGATTACTTGCCAGATTGTGAGACGGAGTGTTCATAGCGTTCTGAGTCCCGCTCCTTCCAAGCGCTTGCGAGAGATGCAGGAGCTCGAGTCACGCGTGGTGCTCTACGACCTCCTCACTCATGGTGATACGAGCGTTAGAGAAACTTTTATCCAGGGCCCGAATTGGGAAGTACCTGAGCGGCACTGGTTTTCCATTCTGAGGAGATATGTGGGTGTGATTTTCGCGAAGATAAGGGGGCAGACGCACTGATGACGTCCTATGCAGACCACCAGCGTCGTTATGCACATGGCATATGGGCAGCGCATCCACAGGATCGTCGATAACCCTAACTTGTAAGCCTGTCCCTTTCCCTTGTGATCAGATGCGTCTCACGATGCTGCAGGCATAAGATCTACAACGTCATGGCGAACTTTACACGTGTTGCGCAACCAGGAAGCTATCTGTTAGATGATTTCGTCCATTGACTGTAACTGCAGACTCACTAGCAGTGACCGACTAGGGCAGACGTTTTCCCGCCTCTACGTTGGCTACCGGATTTGATGGCTCCGTGGAGGGCGAAGGCAAAGAAAATGCATGAATGGCAAGTCGCATGCGGATCTGTCCCGTTTCTCTCACTTAGGCTACGGCATTCATAGGGAATACGAGCTCTGGGGGGGCCTGCTTTCTGAGAGTAGAGAGGCCACACAGAATGGCATTCCCCGCACGGGCTTCGTCCCAACGTATCTGCGAAAGCGAGCAGAAGCCGGTTTAGATGATCTTCCGGGAAATGGCGTGACCCCAGACGGCACCGGATGGATGCGAGATAAAATGCTCGCCTATACTGCCGGGGCACTTCTTGAGGCGGGTTCGGACACCACCGCGACGACAATGCAAACGTTCATTCTCTTCATGCTGAGCAACCCAGAGGCGTTGAAACGAGCGAGAGAGGAAATCGACCACGTTGTCGGAAATGAAAGGCTTCCGGGATGGGAAGATGAGGAGAGGTTACCGTGGCTCATCGCGTGTATCAAAGAGACCATGCGGCGAAGACCACCAACGATCACGGGCAAGTGTATTCATTCGTGCAGTTTATGCAGTAGTCCTAACAGCAAGAGCTCGTCAGGTATGCCGCATCAGACGGACGAGGATGACGTTTACCAGGGATATCTAATTCCGAAAGGTTCTACCGTTATTGGAAACATCTGGGCGATTCACATGGATCCCAATCGATATTCGAATCCGATGACCTTTGATCCTGAGCGTTTCTATGATAAAGATCGGCCCTCTAAGTGGGCGAGTGGACCCGACTCCAATGAGCGCGACCAGTGAAGTCTCCCTCTCAGCCCCTCTTACTGTAAGCCATGCTGATCACTGAACTCGCAGCTACGCGTTCGGATGGGGGCGCCGCTTCTGCCAGGGCAGCTACATGGCGGAAGCATCACTCTTCATAGTTCTTTCGCGCCTGATATGGGGCTTAGACCTTGTAGCAGGAACAGATCCGAAGACAGGAAATCCACAGTTGCCGGACGTAAATGACGAGGAGGGGACTTGGAGCGAAGGGTTCATCAGCGTGCCGCGAATATACCCCGTTAGTTTCAGAGCACGCTCGGAGAAGCACGCTGAAACTATGCGGAGGTTATTTGACGAGGTACAAGTGGAGTGGCAAGCAATGGGGCTGGCTGGAGATGAACGATGATGTCCGAGTGGCTCGAGGGATCACAATGATTGAAGTGGCCAAGGCTGGAGGGCTGCAGTGGATATCGTTAGGATATTGAGCGAAGCCCATAAACACACCCACCTCGCATCTGCTATTCCAGAAATTCGAGTCAAAGAGCAGAACGCGAGCTAAAGGAAGACTAGTGGGATCTTCATGAGTGTACGCCAGACTAAGCTGAGTGGATCGACGAAGCTAAGACGTGAAACGAGCTGTTGAGGACACCAAGCCAATACAACGAAAGTGTCGTGAAGGCTATCTTTTGACGACCGACTCCGAGGACGGGATGCTGATGCCTACCACGTGATCGTACTTTTACATGCATCGTGAATTCTGAAGTGACTTCAATTTGCTCCGAGTCACTTCCGTCGCGCACCCCAGAAATCATCATTTTCTTGAAATAAAGAGGTATCGGAAAGGTACCAGCTGGATTGAGTAAGCTTTTTCTCTCTTGTAAAGCGGTTATTTATTTGTTGTGTTGTTGGTAGCCGAGTCTTTATATACAGTATGTTCTTATTTTGCATCGAACAAAGAGTGACAAGCCCATATGTCCAGCAAAATAAGTGCTGACGTCGATATACACAGCGTAATTTCCGGTATTAATCGGTAATCCGAGATGGGTTCCTAAGTGTTCACGAACTACAATATTGCAGACAGTTTCACGTCTGCATAACTAAGCCGTGTCCCGCGACGATTGTAGCATTACCAGATTCATAGAAATCTTTCGACAGCCTATGGTGCGATTTATCCAGATCCTAGTTTCTCTATGATTAGCCCCATGACCGTCTTTCCTTATCATGAAGTTTGAATAGGTCACAGGACTAGGCCACGACCTTCGTGTCGCCATCTACAATTCGTCAGATTCGTTGGAGTGTCAAGATTCTCTGTCGAGCTAGGCCTCATTCATCGTCTAATTTTCGGGAGAAGACTGCACAAATACACCATAACTCATGCATTCTGTACACAAAGGATAAGGGGCACGAGGTCCCTCGTCTTTCACAGCGGTATTCAAACTTCCTTTGGACACCCCAGCATGAACAGAAGTCTCAATACCATGCATTTCCAGTCAACTGATGCTGTCGCTCTTGCCTGTATTTTTGTTGTTACCCTTATCGTGTACAGGGCCCTGCAACACCGGTCGTCCAGTGCGCGACTTCCTCCAGGTCCTCTAGGGATCCCTATTTTTGGTAATATATTCCAAGTTTCGGCTCTGAGGCCGCACCCAAAGGTGGAAGTTTCGTCACTGATGGGGAGGGCTATTATTCTAATGAGACTGGTGACAGTTCAGAGCATGGGCCGTGAAATACGGGAAGATCTTCTACCTCCGTCTTGGATCTCAAAATATAATCGTCCTTAACTCCCCCGATGCTGCAGACGAACTCCTTGGAAACCGTAGCAGCAAGTATTCGAGTCGCGCGACTCCTCATGTAGCCCATGATATCATGAGTGATGGGCAGCGCATGGTATTCAAGCCATATGATAAGGAATGGAAGGTATATTTTCAGCCTTCTTTCGATCATTTTTTTCATGTGACGACTGTTTATGATAGACTATACGAAAAAGTATGCAAGGTGTCATTGGTTTCCATGCGTCGAAGCAGCATCGCAAGAACCAAGAGCTGGAGTCTCGCGTCCTATTGTACGATCTTTTATGCCACGGCGATCAGAGTATTAGGGAGGTCCAGACCGAAGGCCCGAACGGCGGAATTCCTGAGCGTCATTGGTTTGCCATAATCAGAAGATTTGTATGTATACAATCTCCCTCGTCTCACGGCTGTGATGTTAATGTGTTTGCGTTGTAGACTACAAGTGTGGCCTTAAGCATACTATATGGTAAACGCGTGCATCGACTACACAATAATCCTCAATTGTAAGTCGAAGATTGGAATCCTTCTGAGTATATTATGATCATGTGATAGGCATAAAATCTATGACGTCTTTGGAAACTTCGTTCGCGTTGCACAGCCTGGAAATTACCTGTGAGTGGCTTCATTTTACGTCGATATGTTGTAATTCATGACTGCTCCTTAGCGCGGATACCTTCCCCATCCTTCGCACGCTTCCTGATGTATTTGCGCCCTGGAGAGTTGAGGCACAAAGGATGCATGAATGGTAAGTGCAATCCCTGTGCTGCAGGAATAGGCTCTTCCTCTCATACATTGCCTTGAATCGTCCCAGGGAGATGGAGCTCTGGGGTGGCCTCCTAGATGACTCTGTGGCAGCGTTACGTGGAGGGATTGTCCGATCTGGATTCATAGATCGATATCTTCGAGCTCGAGCGGAGGCGGGACACGAAATTGCTCCGGGTAAAGGACTCACCGATAACGGCTGGATGCGCGATAAACTCCTTGCATATGCAACCGGAGACGTGCTCGAGGCAGGCTCCGACACAACAGCTGGCACCATACAAGCATTTATTTTGTTTATGCTTAACTACCCGCATGTTTTACGTCGCGTGCGAGAAGAAGTCGACGAGGTAATCGGTGCCGAAAGAATGCCGAATTTCGAGGACGAGGATAATCTCCCATATTTGGTTGCTTGCATCAAGGAGACACTGAGATGTCGCCCGCCAGCAATGCTGGGTACGCAGCTTCGAGCAGTTAAGACATCGCTAGGCTAAAGCTGATTTTCTTTGATGCAGGTGTCCCACACCGAGTGGACGAAGATGACACGTACGAAGGCTACTTCATACCCAAGGGATCTACAATAATCGGAAATGTGTGGGCGATGCATATGAATTCACACCGCTTCCCAGATCCGGATATTTTCGAACCTGCACGCTTCCATACGACCGGCGAGCCCACTAAATGGGGCGGTGGTCCAGATGCGCTAAACCGCTCTCAGTTAAGCCCGTTCTGTTATTTTTCTCACCAAAGATCTAATATAATTTCCAGTTACGTTTTTGGCTGGGGACGTCGATTTTGTCAAGGCAGCTACGTTGCTGAGGCTTCGCTCTTTATTGCACTTTCCCGTCTGATCTGGGGCATTGATATCTCTGCCCCTGTAGACGGGCTCACGGGAAAACAAATTATTCCAGACATATCTAATGAAGAATTGACCTGGAGTGATGGGTTCATCAATGGACCAAGGCTGTTTGGCGTCCGGTTTAACCCTAGATCGGAGAAACACGCCAAATTAATCCGGGACTCGTATGACGATGTACAATTGGAATGGCAGACTATGGGTCTTGATGGAGACGAACGATGAGGAGGAATCCAACTGTGAGTACTCTTCGTATGAAAGCCAGTTACTTTTGCGCTGACTCACAGAATGCCTATCCTCGTATGCATCTATGTACGCTTGCTTTGTATAGGGTGAATATCACTGATTGCAATAGACTGTCAATTGGGCTATCGTGAATCGTCTGGTCCAGACTTGCATGCTTGGGAACCAAGACTAGTGGAGTGTCTAGCCCGTCCGATAATTTCGCAGTCTATGAATACGTGCGGTTCAGTCTCGGCACCAATGATAATTGGGCGGACTTATCAAGTTATCGCTCAGGCTCCAGATCTCACATGCCTGTACGTAACCCTGCGTCATTCTTGTAATTTCTTCAAATATTGGCCTGCTAACACGAGCTTTCAACGCACTGTCGCGCGAAGACAGACGCATCAGTCTACATCTGACCAATAGCTTGACTGCGTATACCGGCGCATAAACCGCGCCCTGAATTTAAGATCTGCCAAGAGGTGTTCAGTGCTTGAGCGGCGTGTGGCGCATTTACGTATATACTATACTTCGCGAGGTTTGATTTCCATTCATACCGTCTATCGGCACGCTAGTACAAGTCGGTCATGGAGCAAACGCATACTGGGAACATATAAACGGCGGCTCGACGTCAGCCTATATCCACCTATTACAGCCTTCAGTTCTTTGGTCAAATTCCGAGAGCAAATCTTCACGACTGGATCATGGCTTTCCTTTACGCCGATGCTCTATTTTTCGTCTGCATCGCGCTCATTACTGCGGTGATTCATCACTCTGCTCGAAGTCGCTCACTACCAGCTAGCCTTCCTCCAGGTCCGACAGGTATCCCAATTTTTGGGAATATGCTACAAATCGCTCCGGCAAAACTGCATACAAAGGTATTTAATATTGCGTACGTTCTTAAGGTCGATTTCGTGTATCTGATACTTTACTTAGTTCAGAGAGTGGGCTTTGGAATATGGCAAGATCTTCTATCTCCGTCTGGGGCCTCAACCAGTCATTGTGCTCAATACTGCGGAGGCTGCAGATGAGCTCCTCGCAAATCGGAGTAATAAGTACTCCAGTCGTGCCACGCCGCATGTGGCTTATGACATACTGAGCGACGGCCAACGTCTGGCGTTTAAGCCATACGATAAGGTGTGGAAGGTAAATGATATTTCTGTGTTCAATTCTCCAATCTGATCACCGTGGTCCAGACAATGCGCAAGTGCCTTCAAGGTGCGATAGGTCTTAATCCGTCAAGGCGCGCTCGAAAAATTCAAGAACTGGAGTCTCGGGTTTTGCTCCATGATTTACTCCAATATGGAGATCAAACATCACTCGGAAGTGCCGTTGAAGGGTTGCATGATATGATTTTGGATCACCACTGGTTTGCTTTCGTTCGGAGATATGTGAGTCTATTAGTCTTATGCCACTGATACCGGCGACGCAATGTCTAACCATACCGTGATTAAGACTACAAGTGTCGTTCTGTACATAATGTATGGACAGCGGGTTCATCAGCTTCGAGATAATCCCCAACTGTGAGCGGGGAATTTCCAGTTCTCAAACATGTAATACTGACCGCAGCAGGCATAAAATCTATGACGTCCTTAACAATATCGCAAAGATGGCGGAACCAGGGGCTTATCTGTACGCATAAAACCACTTTCTTACACTGATGGTGATATTGACCTTGTACACCAACAGTGCGGACGTTTTCCCTATCCTCCGCGCTCTTCCTGATTTCCTTGCGCCCTGGAGAGTGCACGCCCAAAAAATGCATCTATGGCAAGTCCATATCCTACTGTATTTTATCAGCCTCCTAAATGTGTTAAACGCATAGGGAAATGGAACTGTGGGGTGGTTTTCTCTCTAGCGCGAGGGACGCTCTACGAAATGGAGTTGTCCGATCAGGCTTTGTCGACTCATATCTACGCGCACGGGCAGAAGCTGGCCATGATGACGCGACTGGGAATGGCTTAACCGACGATGGTTGGATGTGCGACAGACTCGTCGCATATGCTGCTGGTGGTATCCTTGAAGCAGGCTCTGACACTACGGCCAGCACCATTCAGTCCTTTTTGTTATTTATGCTCAGTTATCCCCACGTTCTCCATCGCGTGCAGGAGGAAATCAATGCAGTGGTGGGTTCTTCCAGGTTGCCCACTTTTGAAGACGAGGAAAAGCTGCCGTACCTAATTGCCTGTATCAAGGAGACGCTTAGATGTCGTCCTCCGGCTATCATGGGTGATTCAATTAACTCTTATTCATCAATACTTCGGTGACCAATATTGCTGGCTGTTGCTTCGTAGGCATACCGCATAAAGTGGAGGAAGACGACGTCTACGAGGGGCATTTTATTCCAAAAGGATCTACGGTGATCGGCAATGTATGGGCAATCCATATGGATCCTATTCGCTTCCCAGACCCAATGGTGTTCAAACCTGAGCGGTTTTACACAGAGGGAGATCCCACAAAATGGGGTGGAGGTCCTGATGCGCTCCATCGCTCTCAGTTGAGGCCCCTTCTTATATTTTGGGTTTAGATGTTTAAATTGGTTTGCAGCTATGCGTTTGGCTGGGGTAGACGTTTTTGCCAAGGCAGCTATATCGCCGAAGCTTCGCTGTTCATTACGCTCTCGCGTCTTATCTGGGGATTCAATATCTCTGCTTTATTGGATCCGAAGACGGGGAAGACAGTCGTTCCAGACATCACAGATGAGGCAAACTGGTGTGATGGTATAATCACAGGACCAAAGCTTTACGGGGCGAAGTTCACAGCAAGATCAGACCGGCATGCCGATCTGATTCGGAAAATGTATGAAGATGTGCAGCTGGAATGGCAGATGATGGGGCTAGAGGGGGACAACCGATGAAGGCGCCGCAACAGGCAATTTATTCCGTGTACCGGTGCAAAGGATTGTATCCTCCGCAGCGCTGCTTCCGTAAACCACTGCAGTTGGACTTGATCACATGCTTGAGCTTTAGCTTCACTTACCTACAATACTACAGACTACCACGACAATACTACGTACATGGTTGCCGTTCCGTCTCTCACGGGCTCAGTATCTCAACACATTCCCGGCAGTCCTGAAAGACTGATACCATGGAATGAACCATGATCAAATTCGCTTCGTCTCCGAAGAATGTGAAGGAGACTCGGACACGAGCAGTGAGTTCTCGGGCACTTAGGACCGAGACTTGTGACCTGCAAAGAATGTTCGGATGCAGACAAGTTAGATAGATAGTACATACGCTAGAGGCGTTGAACATCAAAACTGCACTTCCAGAAGGGTTAGTGGTAGGTGTGTTGCAGCGTTCTTTTCACAATACTGAGATACATGCAAAATTGTTCATCTGAGGAATATTTATGGATACATCGTAAAGCAGTTGGCTGATGTGCTTGAACTACAACGCGGCAGTACTTCAAGGGGAGAATAAAAAGAATAGGTGAGTCCTACAAATCAGAGATTTCACCGATTGAAACGTACTGCGTGAGGGATACTGGAAACCGCTGTGCCTACAGACGTGGCGTATTGTAGCTTGACAACCTCCGCTGCCGCAGTTCACGGATGCCACTGGACTACCGCTAGCTGTGGCCAAACAACTCAAGAAAAGTATCTTACAAGCTACTCACATACCAGCTCCCCCGCGTTCCAAGTCCATTATGGCCCCTCTGGTTGCACTATCAAACACTCTACGGTAAAAGTACACTTCCGGATGTGCAAAGTAGGCCATAAAACAAGGATAAAGGTAGAGAATGTAGGCTCGAAACCATAGAAAGAGCAACCAGCGACGAGAGATGAAGATGGTGTTCCAGGAGGAGTGACGACACAGGACATGGGCGGGAAAGGATCAAGGGATTGGTATTCGAATGCGGGAGAAATGTAGGATGGTAGAAAGCGGGTTTGTGGCCGTCAGGTGCCGTCACGATATATACAAGGCCGCAGATTAAGCTCACTGTATGTGCCCGCTAAATGGGCTAAAATACAGACAAACAGGTAATCAGTAATGTAAAACATCGCACCCACCCTATAGTCGCTACCTTCGCAAGATCCGCGACGAGGTAGCGACACCCGTTTACGCGTAGCAGATTGCCAACCTAAGCGACATCCGTGCCGAAAACTCCCCGCATCTGTCAAGTCCCGAAGGCGAAGATGCAATATGCGGACGACGGAAACGAATGGTCGCCAGGGGGGAGGAAGCTCACATGGTATGAAGAGGGATGGAGGGGGGGACAGGCCGCTCGACCGCACTGATCAATGGTACCAGTAACGAAGTCAGTAGGCAACCGGGGAGATATGCGCCATTCGCGACGTGCCGAGGGAATGTAGAAGTGATCACCAAGTTGGGTGAGGGAGGGATAGACACTGCTGAATGGAGACCACAGCGATTTGGTACGCAAGTACCTGATGCCGAGGGTGACAAGGGCGCAGGCGGAATCGGCCCTGCCAGGGAATTACGCGGAGCCGATGGCCAGGTATAATCACGCAAGTGTCATCCACAGCGCGCCTTGGACCACGCTGCACATGGGTCGTACAGCACTATCAACAGACTGCTGACGGAACCGTACCCAAAAGGCTGCGCCCCTGTAAAGCGGGTCCAGGCGATGCCAGGTTAGTGTGGGTATTGCAGTGGCTTCCGTGGTGCAGCAACTGTCCACACGCTGCGCCTTTCAGGAATGGAGGCGCCGGGGGATGGGAATGGCCGATGACCGGAGGTAGCGAGATTGAGGGTAGCAGTGATAGATTGAAACGTGGATGATTGCTGTCGCAATATGAGCGAGGGGAATAAGATAGTGTGATGACCTTGACCGTAAGATGGGAGAGCGAGAGAGCAGATACGAGACGACATATGACTAGGACGTGGTGATGTCGTGATCATTTGAATATGGAAAATTCCGATGAGATGAAGCGTTGAGATGCTTGCGTACAAAGAGACGAGAAAAGACAACCTGAGAGAACCTATGTCACTCCACTAGTTGGTTCGCGCAGGAATCAACCCACCAACGATACGACCAAACGTATATACAGAACAACTTCAGCAAGCTACAAGATCCCAGAATCTTTGAGAGCGTTTTGCAAAATCGTCTCTTTGACTGCTGCGAACACTAAGCGGATGTTGGTCGTATCTGTCGCCTGCGTCAGACTATTGCATACAAATAATCATGGGTCAGCCACCAAATAAATCACCTGTCCGAAGACGAATGACGCACTGTGGATATACGCTCAGTCGCGCACGGTTAGCCTGCATAAATCTCCATAGAATATACTTTGCAGCCTTGTTGATGTCGGGACCGCCAGTATACTCGGGGAAGTACTTCTCCAGAGGAACTTTCGGTAGTTTACTCTTGAACACATCGATCTTGTTCAAGAATAAGATAATTGATGTGCGCAGGAACCACCGTGAGTTTATCACTGAGTCGAACAGAACGAGAGATTCCTTCATTCTATTCTGTATGATACTTTGAATACATGTACCGAAATTTGATCCAAAGACGACATACCTGACTCCGTTCTTCCAAGAGAACTTGGTCGTACTCGCTTAGCGCCGTACAGAAGATGATACTCGTTACACTCTCGAAACAGTGTATCCATTTTTTCCTCTCTGATCGTTGGCCACCGACGTCAAACATGTGTATTCTGTGATGTCAGATTGATTGAGCAAGAAGACGAGCTGTATGCGATGTATGCACTCACGATAATGGACCAAGACTAAATCGCGTCTCTGTGATGCCCGTACTCTTGGCACGGGCTCTGAGAACGTCCGTCTCAGTCGGCACGTAATCTCGCGTCCCTATTCGTAAAGCCTCTGTGAAAAAGCTGTGTAAAGGTAGGCAGTGAGAATTAACGCTCGAAAGGTGTGGGACCAAACGCACTAGCTTGCGCTGTCCATAAGATAGAACTCGCTACTGTGGTCCATGATAGTAATAATGATGGGGTCCTGCCACAGCTCGTAAATCGCCCTCGCCATCTCCTCAGAAAAGTCAAAGTCGGGGTCTGCCAGGACCTCATAGTCGAGAATGCTGTCTATTCGCGCGCGATTCTCCTGCAACTCACAGTCGACGCCAATCTTGCGCATGGCGAGGATGATGTTGTGTGCGGATTCGAGTAGATTGCGGTATATAATAGTGCGGTAGCCCAGGAGCTCGGTCTCTGTGAAACCATTCTGGTGAATGATCTTCATCTGCTTGACGATCGTGGATTTCCCAGACTCTCCTGAGCCTAGATGCGTGGAATTATTAAAAGCCAGTAGGTAGGGAAAGGACCTGGACGGACCAAGCAACAGGATCTTGCATTCCTTCTTAAACTTCCGCGAGTCCTCCTCAATTTGTTTGTCGATCTCCTGGGAGCGTTGGGTCGCCTCCCGGTCCTGGGCCGAAACGCAGTTACCCATCCCGGGCGCAGCTGCGGCGGCTCCAGCTCAGTGCACAATGTAGAAGTGGCGCAAAGTTGACGTGGCTGGTGGGCTGAATACGAGGCGATGCGAAAGTGCAAGTGCAGCGCGAGGCGTCGACAGAGAACGTAGACCAGATATGGGGCTAGAAGTGTGCGCTGTCGACACGAAGATGGACGGTAGAGGTCAGCGAGGCGAGAGGAAGGGGGAAAGCGGGAGGCCGTCGCCTGAGGGCGTCGTAGAGAGACTGTCAAGAGGCGTCGGTTGCTTGCTCAGCCGCCCTTGTTCTTTGGCAGCATCATGTCACCCCGTCACGCTCCTGCGCTCCTGTCAGCCTGTCACTGATTTGTCACGCTCCCGTCACACCGCCTGCTAGCTACTTTCCCGTCCGACACACACGATGCAGCCGCCTCACCGCACGTCGACGTGCGGCCGTGCGCCTGCCCGCATCCGGTGCTTTGCGCGCGTCTTCTGCTGCTGTCACGCGCCGAACGTGACAGCCAGTGGAGGACCTCCGCCGATACCGGACAGGGCGTCGCAGGGCGTCGCCTCACCCAGCCGGATGCCGTCCGCCCAAACCATGCCCGATCGGGATGAATGCCTGGCCTTGCCGCGGCCGGCTTCGGTAATTAATCAACCAATCTCGATTAATCCGGCTTAATTGCCCCTGTTGCAGAGATCGAATTCGTCTTCACTGCCGCTCCGAGTCACAGCCGGGCGCGGGAGCAGAGGTCAGACACAACGTTGGCAATATATGCAAGACAAGTAGATTTCAGCTACCGCTCTAGCAGTGCAGCCTGACAGCATTTACACCAAAATCACCGCCCCACAACCACTGATCTGTAAAGCACATGTGCAGGAACACTTGGAGGCGGGTACAGCAACACACACTGGCAGTAATCTGCACATGACATGTCCGCAGGAGTCTTTTCCCAAGTCCAGTGGCCCACTGCGATCGACTATCATAAAACTTATTCCTGACGCGGGAATCAAATGGTTCACGGTCCTGCCACGGCTAGCGCCAGGACTGTCACCAGCACGGCGGCCACCGTCGGAATATGATTAATTGATCCTCGCATACTCGGCGCACTGGATCTGCTCGACGTTGCTATCGAACTCGTCACCATCACAAGCGACGACGACGGTGAGGGGCTTGTCGTCGTCCCAGATGAGGCCGAGGAAGCACTAGACGTCAATGTCTCGCTCGACGAGGCGGAGGAGGATGTACTCGAACTCGTTCCGCTGCTTGTCACAGCGCTTGTCGATGTTGCTGTCGAGGATGTAGTACCGGGCTGTGACCCTGGTGCTACTGAAGTCGTTGTGGTCGACGTCCCAGCAGAAGTGGCGGATGCAGACATGTTAGTCGCGGTTGTTAACACAGTCGCGGTCGACGTTGCGTTTGAGGTCGTCGCAGTGCTGTTCCCGGACCCACTCGTCGACGGCGAGACGCTTCCAGACGGAGGTGCTAGATCGTACGAGTTCAGCCACTTGTCATACCACTTTCCTTCAACCTAAACACTTACAAGAACTGGGAAGAGATACAGTTGACGAATTGCCGTTTGCGGTTGACGTCACCGTCCCTGAGGATGTCGTTGGTGTTGTACTCGCTGTGAATGAAAGAGCATGCCCATCAGTACCCGTTGGCATCATTGCGGGAGTTCCGAGACAGTGAATTAACGGAAGGGGGGCAAGCAAGCCCTATCAAGAGAGGAGACGCTACATGCGTCTCCCCGGGCATTCGCGCTGAGCGTGGTAGAATTGAATTCCGCGTATCATCGGCTCACTAAACCGAGGTCCAACAGATCCCTGGCAGCGGGCAATTCGGATACAGGACCGGTGTGTCGGCGGATACTGGTTCCGTCACGACGAGCTATCCCCTTCGAGTCCCCGTACGAGCTTTCTTGTAGTGCCAACAAACCCAGCTAGGAACAAGCAGCTTGTCCAAGTAGCGCGCGCTACCAGAAATGGGCCTCACAGGAATCCGCAGGCGCTGCCACAAGTCCCCGCAGTTTTCCACCCAATACGGAGGCCAGAAACGGTCTCGTAGCAACAAGACATTGCTAGCAAACGGACGACCTTAGCGGAATACTCACCAGATCCGACGCACACCCCGTCGAGAATCTGCATTCCGGACTGCTCGCCTGACGAGGTACAGTTGGCGGCCATGCACGACTGAGCGTCAGACAAGAAAGATGGCGCGGCACACGCGCATTCCATATCACTGGGGATGCGCGAATAACGATAGGAGAGGCGGAAAGCGGAGAGAGTTGGCGGGTGTGCTGTCAGTGGTGTGAGTGGCATGATGAGCAAAATGATACTCACAGAGGCATGCAGCCCACGTTGGTCGAGGCCACGGATGTACAGCGAGATGCACACTGGCTGAGCCCGGACAACTGCGCCTCGACGCCGAACCCGAAAAGACTCCCGCGTCCATCCTGACGTGATCCCTTTGTCCAGCTCCAGAGGATTAAGAAGAATGATAGCAACAGCCAGGAGGGGCGATGTGCAAACAGGAAAGTCATTTTGCGTCGCTCCAGCGATGGAGGGCGTGAGAGGCGTTGGCAGACAGGTGGAAGGTTAGACGTGAGGGAGAGGCGCGGTTTTCAACAGGAAGGTCGCTCAGGCAAATGCGTCCGAAGATTCCACGCGGAGAAGACGAGGCCCACACACGGGCAGATCGTATACGGTCCTCAGTGGGAACGTTCGACGGCAATGGACAGGTGGGTGAGCCCAACAACAAGCTCGTCCACACCTCGTCACTCTGATATATAGCGCGAACAGACCTCGGTTCTCAGACCATTCTTCGGTTCAACGCTGTGTCACGATGAGCATCACTTGATCAATGTGCGGTATGCTTTGCTTGCATCGCGTGACCCCGCAGTCTGGAGAGCTGCTCGGCTGTCGTTGATGCAGCGCATGGCGAGCGGATTGACTACAGCCCTCGAAGCATGGTGGAGTCAAGTGACTTGAGGTCGGATGCATAAAATCAGTATGTGAGGGAAGCTTGCACTTGCACCAACCAAAACAGATATGGACATTCGGCCACTTGGAGCAGTTCTTGCGCTAGTGCTGAGATGCTGTTGGTTCAATCCGCTAAGAGTCAACGCGACGTTGAGATATCTGACCTTGGTTGCATTTCGAAAGGAAGCTGACATGATGGGGGATGCTAATGTCGGACCAAGTGCTGATGTTACTTCCTCAGTGATGGAGCAATTTAAGGTCTGATGGCCAGGAGTGCTTACCACTCCAATGATATTCAACATTAGCAAAAACCAGGACTGTACTTATTTAATTACAAGTGAATATAAACCTTGCCAGTATTACTTGTCATACTGGATTGCAAATTATTAGTTGAATCTACAGGCTGTATGGTTTTGAAAATACAACACCAGCATTTACAATTGGCATGCTGTATGGTGTACAAATGTAAATAAGCTTCCCAAAATGTATTGAAAAATCAATTGCTTACCATTATGATGATATATTGGCATTTTGATTGCAGCAAGATGAAGTTTTCACAGTCAGGTGCAGGCAGATAAAGTAGTCATTCAATTCATTATTTAGTTACAGTTCCTACTAGTGTTACAGCAAACAGTCCTCCTTATACCCCTTCTGTCCCTATCCCACTCCTCAGCCACTCCTTAGTGTCACACAAGTTCATAGTGTCTATCTTATCTCAGCATTTAGATGATCTATATCTCATCCAATTAGATATCTCACTAGATAAGGATAGTATAATGGATAGTGACATGTTACTAGTCAGGTGGTTAGCCTATCAATGGGGAAAGGCTATGGAATATCCTGTCACACAATGACTTGCCGTGACTGCACCCTAGAGCCTAAACCTAACCCTAACACTACTCACTGTCTGACAGTTTTCTGAGTAAAGAGCTTGAGGGTGGTTTACTGTGGAGGATGGCTATGACTGAAGCAAGTGAATGACTATAACTAGTCTGGTCCTAACTGACGCAGACCTACTGGCTTATATACATGTAGGGTAAGCCCCCCTAATACTATAAGACAAGACCCCTGGTTGTCAAGGTTCTGCCCTTGACCCTAACCCTAATCTCTAACCCCAGTACTCCTTGATGTGATAATGGAAGTTGCAAGGTAATAAGCGGAGCTTAGTACTTGGGAGTGGCTAACTCAGAGAGAGAGTTGAGAGTAAGTAGACAGTGTATGATCTAACAAATAGATCAGACTGCTGTGCTACGCTGTATTGCTCTGGTATTTATACATGTGGGACCAGACCCCGGATAACACTGGTAGTACACCTAACACCTTAGGATGACTGATGCTCGCAATACGCTACTGGCTATCTAAGAATACCTAACGTGTGAGTCATCACCATGTGTTCGGTCAGCAGTCTGATATGTGATGATCA